CAGCAATAACAAAAATGTCCCTGAATTATCAATATTTTTTTCCAGCTCAAATCCAAAACACAGCCCCATACCAGCTACTCTGAAGAAAATTAACTCTGCTGCAGCCCAAACCAGCACAATCCTCTGCTTAGCACTTGTAAGGCCACCTCTGGAGTGTTTAGTTGTGGACTCCCCAGTACAAGAGGGAAAAAAGGCAAAGCCAGACTCATCTCAGTAGTACTCACCGGACCATTAGCACAAATTAAAGTATGTGAAATACCACCAAAAGACTATGAAAAGCTTTTTTAAAAATCTTTATTTTTCTTCTGGTGGTGGTCAAACACTTGCACAAGTCATTCAATGAGGCTGTGGAGTGTCCACCCTTGGAGATATTCAAAAGCCATATGGACACAGTCCTGGGAAACTTGTTGTAGGTGACCCTGCATGAGCAGGGCATTTGCACCAGAAGAGCTCCAGAGGGCCATTCCAACTTCAACCATTCTGTGATTCTGTGGTATGGAGCTTCGGAAGAAATTTAGGCTTTTCAAGCAGAGTGTCATGACAAAGACATAATGTAAAGACTTTAAATACTGTACTTCAGATGTTCTGCTTTGAGTACATAAACTCTGTTTTAAAACCTCGTGTGTTTCTTTTTTTTTAATTTATCTCAAGCAAGAAATAAAGCAGTTGATAAAAATGAAGCCAGAGCTGCGTGTGTCCAAAATATCCGTTAATCTGCTTTTGAGTAATAGACTAGGAAAATAAAGTAGCTTACCGCTTGCCTTTTTTTTGTTCCCTGTTAGCAGATAAGCAAAGGCCAGCAGGTGACAGAAATACATGTATTGAAAGAGGAAGAAATTACTAATGAAATTCCTCAAGCACTGGAACCAAAATGGCTAAATATCTTCAATAACTTTGATGCAAAAAAGTAAATAAACAGGTGAAATTGGCTGATGACATGAAATTGGAAGTTATCATCTACTCAGAGTGAACTGGAATGGAAGGAGGAATCAGATGATTTTAAGGAAAGCTACATTAGAAACAAGATGGTATGTAATTGCACTTAAAAATGTTCTACACTTGAGTAACAGTAGAACTCCTAATCTTATAAGATCATCAGCAGAAAAAGACGGTGGCAGAATTATCCTTGTGTGTAGTTGTAATCTCAGGTTGACAACAGGCTAGCACTATAATGCAACGATGAGAAAGAAACTGCAGTGCTAGGATGTGTCACATGATGTATTGCAAGAGACGGAGAAGTACAATGCCATGGAACAAGCACCCAGTGAGACGTCGTTCTGGAGCTATGCGTGCAGGTTGAATCATTGAATTCACTGAATTCTAGCACATACATGGGGAAAAGGACCATGAAGATGTCCAGAAGAACTGAAAATCTGTAGTGTGACAGAAGAGTTTTACACACTGTTTCTGATACAGGCCAGGATGCCATTGACCCAATACAGAAGATAAAAGAAAATAAAACTTTTAAGCTAAGAGAGGGTTGGCACAACAAATGGATATGAACAAATGACAAACAAAGTTAAGGCAGAAATGAGAAGCAGAGACGGACAAAATCCAAATGCTAACTAGCTTTAAGATGGAACCTAAAGATTTAGATAGTGTGAGTACTTGCAACAGTAAGGAGTTAGATTCAGTGACCCTTTTCAGCCCTCTGACAGGAATACAAAGGCCTTCCAGAACGCACCTTTCATTGAAGCGTGTAGCATCAACGGAGACAAACTGCATCCAGGTCAAAACAAGAGATTTAAAATGGAGGTCACTCACAGTCTTAGAAATGAAAGTGCTACTGTGGAATTAGTTATATTTGTGAAATATTTTTTTGCTGTAACTATAAATTAATCAATGCCACAAAACACAATTCATATTTATTTGGAATGTAATTGTTTTTATCTATAATTTTTAATACAATTTTTTATCATATTATATTACTTTAGATTTCACTGAAAAATGAATGATGAAGCTAAATATAAACTATGCAAGTAAAAAACAATTCACATAATGACATACTTCAGTACATGACTTATCTTAAATGTCTACTTAATTTCAACCCCATAGGGTATAAAATTTTTAATTGACTTTTTCCTCCTGTTTTCCAATATGTAAAATGGAAGTGCATACTACAAGAGTTTCAGTTTCTATAGTATCAGAAAAAGTGAGTTTTTCCCAGTTCTATGTAGCAATCTGCATTTGCTGCTCCATATTATTAATATAAAGAACTACTATTTGTAGTTTCCACACCAATGTGTTTCATTTTGAGAGTTCTGATAATGTGGAAAGGCTGATTTACTTTTTCCTAGTCCTTGGAATTTAAAAGAAAACAAAATATCGTCAACTGATCCTTGAAAAATTATAGATTCAGAGAGAAATCAAATCGTATTAAGTTATTTTGAATTTTGGAAGCAAACTTAGAACACATTTCACCACTTGGTAGAACAAGAATTTACTGCACTGCAGATTTACTTACCAGTGAGCAAGGTATTTCTGGTATTACTTTTTTACAACATCTTTGCTGTGTGCCACAGCAAACTTCTGTCTTTGGATTGTTGGTTTTCAGAATTAAGTCCTTGTAATCCTGATAATTTCACTGAGGGGTGCCCTGTATTCTGACCTTTTATACTACATATATAGATTCATTTTCTGGATCCAGAATGTGGAGAGCAGCTATGAGAACAGTTATGCCTATGAAATTTCTACTTAAATCTGAAAAGTGTGTTAGGGGATATAATCTCATGAGAGTTTTACTGTTTGGGGTGAAATCTGTCAAGGACAGGCAATACCATTTAGACATAGTTAATGCTGAACCTTCAGTTAAGCTCTTTTATGGTCTTGAATTTCATTAAAACCCAAAATACCTTCCTTCCCACAAGCTTTATCTCTCCTTATTGAAGAGATCCTTCACTTAATTAGCAATAAATTACAATTAGAATCAACAACGCATTGGTTCAAGGGGTTCAGATTAGCAGTGCGGAATAATAGGAAACAAAATATTAAATTGCTTCATCCCACAATTCAATATAACCAACTTTTCCAAGAAAATGGCAAAAGAAGTTGCAAAACACACATTCTCAGCTTTCCAGCTTGAAGCCCTAAGGAAATGGCCTGGCTTTTTCTCTGATAAACGTCTTAGAATAAGCTGATTACAATCCTGTCCAAGTCAACAAAATCCTGTTTCTGCCTTTGTGATGTGTTGGTTGGATTTGACAAAAAAAGGAAGTAATTCTATGGGGAAATCAAGCATGAATGTCTGTATACTGTGTGTCTGACTCCATTTAGAGGTGTGCTGCACACAGAAAGAATATTTTGTGGAATTTATTACAGCACGATAGTCTCTGCGTTTGTATTCTAATTGCCAGTGTAAAGAACTGAGGGTGGAAAACCAACAGAGGTCAAAATGTCTGCCCATGTTTTTAGTGATATATCGTGCAGCTTGCCCTACAGTGTTAAAGAACTACATCCAAAGATGATCTTGTCACCTGAAACTCTAAGACTGATGTTTTTAGAAATAAAATCACACCTGAATACACTGAAGGATACTTTCACCAAGACATAACACCATCTGTTAAGATCTCTACACTCCCAACTGCACTTCGATTAAATAATTTACAGGTTCTGCAATATTTGCCATGTTATGCAGACAGTGTTTTGGATGTCTTCTAGAAAGTGGTTAGGGGTACTCAGACTAGGGTTGAATCCTATAATCTGTGTTCAGCATTGCTTAAGTCCTGATAGGGTACTACAAAACATTTTCTAAAACGCATAATAAATAATAAAGCAAATTTGGTGATTATTCTGAGTACTAGATACCCATATGTTAATGTAATATGCTCTGTCCCTTTACACTACAATGAAAATGAAGACTTCTGGATGAGTGATTTCCTTGACATCTATTGAGATACACTCAGCTCCTCAGCTCTCTAGAAGAGTTTTGGACTTATTCTTGTTCTGGACAATGAGAAATATATATATATATTAAAGCATATAAAAAAAAAAAATCTTCTCAAGTTAAAGTTAGTCCAAAAAGCCCACACTTATTAGACCACACTTCAGAATAATTAGGGAATTGAATGCACTGATACTATTAACTTTTCATAAGAATAAGACAGCAGTAAATAATGAACAAAAGAGATCTGATGAATGAATCTGTGTTTATACTTAGTAAAAATTTGATTCACTGTGAAAACCCAATGACTCAAGGCTGGAAAAGACTAACAAAATAATTTTAATTCAAAGTCTTCTGAAGTTAAGATCTTGATCTGTGTGCTTTCTTTTAAATCAATATAGAGAATCTTAATTAATTACTTAAAATATTGAGGAAAAAAATGTAGCTATGGAGAAGTGTAATAGTTCAAGATGTGTATGAAAATATCTAGGCTCATGTTCGTCCTCCAGAGAACAAAGCAAGTCTTGTTACTCCCAGACATCCTCTTAGTGTGTGAGTGAGCTCCATAATATGACAGCTGAATTTAGATGTCCTAATGTGTGGTAGGTATCAAAGGTCGCATTATTAATAATGGACATCTAACCAATTCATTCACTGGAGGTTTGAGTGTGATTCAACTGTACAGTCAACAGATGTTCTCTTCCTTAGAACGTCATGCTTTCCAAAATATGACTTGAGATCCTTATTCTTCAGTGTACAACATTATTTTAGCTGTTTAACATATTTCCATTCTTTCAGTCACATGCATGTTTATTACATGTTCTGTTTCAAGGTCTCTGATAGCATCAGTTCATATAGGATAAAGAATGGATCCTAGTGCGCTCACTAGAGGTCCATCTTTGTTAGATGCTATTGAGTGAGTTTTGGTTATGTTATTCAAGCAGAGTATATAATCGGCTTATGTTGATGCCATAATTAACCCCTCTTACATCAAGACATACTATTGATAGATTCACTTATTTCATGGTTTTGTGTAAGACAGCATGATGCTTTGTTGCCAGTCTGGTACTGCAAGTGTTTTATTGAAGTCCCTTTATTCTTTCTAATATCTGATCCCTACCTGATCTTTCTCTTCCTCTTCCAGTGGCGCTTCCAAGGACAGTATCACTCCACATAAGGGGCAGGGGAAGACAGGTGGGTGCTGAAAGATGCATGAAGAGGAAGATGAAGTTCCCAGGACATACTATGGGGTGTGGAGCTTGGTGAGCATGGAGGAGGGAATGCCTATTGTTCATCAGCTCTTCTAAGGCCAACTCACTAAAGGATTGAATAACCCCAAGTTGTCAATCCTGTTTTGGACTCCCTTTAGAACAGGCAAAGAGACTTTGCCTCTTTATACTGTCAAAATAATACGTCAAAAAACGCACAAACAACCCAATCTCTCCTGGTCTCTCCAGCTCACTCCACCACCCACGCCCCCCTCATGTATTACTCTCAAATCTCAGCAGAAATCAGTGTGCTTCTGCCAAGATTGTTAGCTTTGCTTTATTAATAGCTGTTCACAAGACCTCATGATGCATAAGCAGGCAGGATGATATGAGACTTTAGAAGAGGTTTCTGAGGCCAAGGGAGTAGGTCAAATGCTGTTGAAGAAATTTCCTTGCTTTGGTAATCAAACCAGTTTTTCAAGCTAAAGTCTGAGGGTAGGAAATGGCTGCAACAGAGCTATATAGTGGAAGATGTCTGCATGAAGAAATTACGAGTATCATTGTTTGAATAATATGCACCTGATATGAGCAACTCACATTTGGATCCTGAGGAAGAAGCCCCACTTGAGGTGGATCGTGATGCTCCTTTCATGGAGAATACTCCTTTGCCTCTGCGAGTTGTTGTCACAGCCACACGGGGACGCTTCAGGGGAATCACTGCACGGGGTGGTGGGGGGACACGGCCGTGGTAATCAAACAACCTAGAAAAGATTGTCACCTGGAGTCCATAAAACCTTCTGTGATTTCATGTCACAGAAGTCTTGTCAACTAAATTTTAATGTTATCTTTGAAAAAATTGCTCTTTTTTAACTGTAATCAATTTATATCACAGCCAAATTAGATTTCAAGGACCTATGCAATTTAAGTACCATATTCAGATTTCAGTCACAGTCCAGTGCATAGCTCAGATTTGTTTTTTTGGTGCAATTTAAACGAGGCATGCATTCTGGGACTCTGTTATTTGCAGCATGGAAAATCCATAACCCACTTTCCACAAACCAACATCATTTCATTGCACAGAACTAAAAGCAGTACATGCTGTTACAGTGACATTTCAGCTCCTTTATTACATGCATGGCTTAAATTCCAGTTTTCTATCTGCTATCCCTAAAGATAGAAAAAGAAATTAAATTTTCTGAAGTCAACCACCCCCATACAGAAATACCCTGCAGTTTGTAAAATAGCCAAAGGGTTGTTGTAGTAAGGCATCTGTATGTCCTTCTGAATGTATAGAAAAGTTCCCAGAACATGCTCTTTTTATTGAAGAATGAATTGATGTAGAATCATTAAAATACCCAAACATGCTTAATAAAAACTCTTGTTCAAATCAAAACCACTGTAGCAAGTAGATATTCAGAGAGTTACCACTACAGTCAATAAAAGGTACTCTACAACCAAAATGAACTTGTCTTCCCAAACAGAATACTCTAATCCTAAAACAACAGTTATCAACAGCAGCTAACTAACCTGCATAGAAGAAAATAAAGGCAGTAAAAGAAGTAATCAAAGCTAAAGATGTATTTAGAACATAAAAAATATGGACTCTCAATGTGGCAGGTCAGGAGAAGAAAGTTCAGAAAATGGAGATTTCCAGTTCAGAGACTGAAGCAGAGGGACAAATAAGATTCCCACAGAATATTCTTGATTTTCTCTCAAATGATACTTGCAACTAGTAATTCTGGAATTTTATATACTGCATGTTTAATTTCCACAGTTCTGATTACTGTCACCCATCTGGGCAGATAGATACACATTTGAAAATAGACGTACAAGAAAGCAGTAATTTACCCTCCACAGTGTTTAGCAGCAGGCTGAACAGGAAACAGGATCAAACTTAAGTCTTCTAGACCATTGTCTGGGAAATAAACACCTAATGTGTAAATCCTGGGATCCTTTCTGTACTGAAATCCTGCACACATTATAACCCGTTCCCTCCTTTGACACCGCTACCTACAAAACGTGTCGCAGAGGTCCTGTCACCCCCACTGAACTTGAACTCCACACCCTTGAATATTCTTACTGAATAAGCAGTTTCTAACTAAATTGTGTATGAAGGTGAACACTAAAACATTTTTGGGACTTTTAACAGAAATATTACTGTTTGTTGTCACTCATCGTTTGTCATATTGGATGACTGGCAAGTTAGTCACAATCTCCCATTTGACATTACTGGAAAAAATTGGATTAGAACTGTAAGTTATCATGCAAAACATCGTTATGCAATTATTCCTTCAAAGGCTTTTTTTTCTAGATACCAATTTTTTGTGTTTAGATAATGTAATGAAATGCAAAACTATGCTTCCCTTTCTGAAATATATAAAAGGGCTGTTATTTAGTATTACTATTCTTACTTTCATTTTTGAAATTATGCAAAGCTTTTAGACTTGGTATTTTGTTGCACCAGGTCTTATGTATTTCACTGATAGTCTTTACAAAAAAAAAAATCATTTTTGAAGTATCCTGCCTGTTTTCCTTGTGCTAGTAAAACAAGAAAGGATAAACAGAAATGCTCAGTTCTAAAGCAATTATTTGTCCAAACAATCACTAATGTGCATATAAGAGTGCCTTTTCTTTCACTCACTCTTCTAAGTTGTGTAGTCCTGATCTTGCCAGTCTGTCTTCCTATAAATTTTATTTTACAGCACTAACTATTCCTTTTTTTTGGAAAACCATAACCTTTTCTGGCCTTAACACTGCTTTAGTCAGGATAAGATGGGTGTATTCTCCCTTCAGGGAGGTTGGAAAATTAATGAGTATTAGAGAACAAGACCTATGGTTTGGGATAAAACACTGAAATTTGGAAAGTTCAGCCCTTCAGAAATTCAAAGAATTATTACTGTATTTCTTAATTTATATTTCCTGTAGGCATGTTGATAGTACATTGACATCTCCATGGAATTTTCTTTTCCATGCCTACCATATAGAGCTTTTAAACTTCCATTTCCACTAACTTGGATCTAACAGAGACCCTTAACTTCCTAAGATTTTTATTGTTAACAGATCAGCATGTCTAGCCTTGTGAGGCCAACCTCATATCTGGGTTTTCTACCATAAAATTTCTGCTGTCTTAATCATGAATGCTTTCTAAACTTGAAAATTATACTATTGAATAGATTTATAGACACATTTTGCTGTCATCAGTTTTCCATAATATGACAGTCACCAAGACAGACACCAGATTCCACAGAAACAACTTTTAATGTCCCATAAAAATTTCTTTTCTTGTGGAGATGTATCATTATAGTTGCTCATTTGTGCTACCCATGATGTACAGAATTAGGGAAAAAAATAAAGACGCATAACTTTAATGTTCAGGTGGCATAAATCAGAAACAGTATTCTGTTTAAAAACACACAAATCCACTGAGAAAATTTGGATCAGTAACCTTGGGGAATGTAAACTCAAACCTGTGGAAGTTAGCTTTTTACAGGACACAAGGTGCTCCAGCTGTCAAGGCTGGACTGAGCAGGTTTAAAGTGCGTTGATGGATTTTACACCATATGTTTATAGCTCACTGTCTTTAGCTCTGTCCAAAGTGATCATGGTCATTTACATGTAAAGACAAAACTAATGGCCTGAATTGAATCTACCCCAGAAAAAATAAAGCAAAAACCCATTGTTTCTACGTTTTTCCTACAGTGGAAAAGTGCTTCCTATACCTAAGCAGAAAGGTATATAGCACACAATAACAACTGCAGGGTGTAAACTGCTTCCCTGCTATTGTTCTTTGCTTTACATAAAAGAAACCTGAGTTTAGAAGAGATTGGTGAAACAATGCTTTGCTCCCCTCTGGCTCACTTGGCCTGTGCTAAATCAGGCTGCTGTAATGCAGAGAGACAACACTGCGGATCACAGTTTATCATCTGTGGTTATCACATTAACCCACATCACCCTGTGTTGTGGCGATTCTGCTACGTCTGAACGAATAAATTCCCACAGTGCCAAGCTAGGTTGTGCAAACGTATTCAAGGCACAAGTCTCCAACTCTTCAGGTGTCCATGCTTCTTTTCTTCCTGCAGAAACACACATGCTCTTCAACTTCTGGTTTTACTTCCCTCAAGGTTCTTCTGGAGTTCTAAATGTTCTTGGAAGACACATTTTTTAGGAGACATTCTATATCTTTTCACACACATGTGTGAAAGAAAAAGAAATGAGTGTCATATTGAAGTGTTTTACAGTTTCTATATGTTCCACTGAAAGTAAGCTTGGAAAAATTCTGCAGGAAGAAACACTGAGCAATTAAACTACCATTAATTCAGCACAGAAAATCCCAAGAAAACTCACAGAGAAGGATATGTTTAGAGGAGATGTTTAACGAGCATATTTTTGGTGGTGATAATCTTTTCTGTTTGTGATAGATTCAAAGAGTCTTCTTGTGCACAATAGAAATAATGAAAGGAATAATAGTTAATATCAGAACAAAACTGAAAAATCAAATTGTCTGATTACGTTATAAACAAACAGTAGAAATGTTTTTTGATTTACAAAAATAAAACCACACATACCGGTTGTAGAAATCATCTCTGTAGTAATCATAGTCAAAGACGTAACCTCTGTGGAAAAACACAGAAAACTAAGAGTGAAGTGGTTGTATTATGGAAAATTGCACATTGACTAAAAATTTTCTGGTAATATTGGCCTATTCTCATATTCCAAACCCTTCTTCAAAGTCCTTCCACTTCTTTTCCACAACTACACACTACATTATATCTGTCAATGTTGTTGTCACCTATCACTCTAGTATGTTTGGAAATGTGAAGTCTGGGGCATGCAGAATCGTAGAATCACTACAGTTGGAAAGGACCTCTAGGTTCATCAAGTCCAGCCTCCCTCCCAACATTTCCCTAACCACTAGACCATAGCCTCAAGTGCTACATCTATAATGTAATATATAGAACATATAGAATATAAAATGTAATAATCTAGAACAGTATAAACAGTAGACAGCACATATAGAAAAGATTTAACACTCTGCAACAGCTCTGTAATTAGAGAATCATTTTAGTGTATTTCTGTCAGTGAGCAAATGAAGTGAGCACTGCAGTGAACCCCTCTTCATTACTGGGCTAGCAACACATTACCAGTGGACTAGGAAGACTGTTAAATACATGAAAGATTGGTGAATGAGTGACTAGGTTAGCAGAGATTAGACAATGAATCTGATTAATGAGAAACGTGAAAAGAGTTGGACTGTTGGTCCTTGAGTTTGCCAAGTCTTTCATCATAAAGAGAAAAGGAAAAAAAAGCTTGGAAGATTAATGATGCAAGGAATAGTGATACAGAGATATATCTTAGGTTCAGAATATACAAAAAGGCAGGCACCATCAAGAGAAACAAGTATAGGTAGGCAATTGCAAATGTGGAGGGGAAAATTATTTTGGGCTGTCAGTTATGAAGTCAATCCTAGACTGATCTTCCTAGTTTTGCATTCCATTAGCAAATTTCTACATTTATGGTGAAGAAATAGCAATGAAGTTCATCTACATCACACACCTGAAAAAATAGAACCAATGAGCTAATAAATAGTCTACACGGAAAAGTCACAAAGGATTTGTACTCTGCCCGATGAAGGACTAGTAACATAAACCCTAAGTTTTTCACTTGCCTGAGAAGGACAATTACGAATAATAAAGGATGAGAGGCATGAAGATCGTATCACAGAAAAGAAGAAGCTTTAAGTAAGAAAGCAGGAAGGTAGCAAGGACAAACCACCAAAAACATTCACTGAAAATAAAGGGAGATGTATTTTGGTAGCTACATATTAATGAATTTTGTCTTCACAGGGATTGTATTGTGGATAATTTCTGCTCTTAAACATTAACCAAAATGTCTTCAATTTTTATTCTTTTTTTTTAACTGCATAATGTGACGAATGGCTCAACAATTATGAAGTTTTTTGGGTTTGTTTTTCCTCATCTTCCCCTTTTCTTCCTTTTGCTATGTTTCAGAAGTTGACCACTTAAATAATAAAAAAAATAGAGTTGGCAGGCTTAAATTACATCAGTAATATTTTCATCCCAGTGTTTTGATTTTGAGGGCTAGTAATTTCCCCTGTCTGAAGCTGGCAAAAGCGTCCATAAAAGGAGCAGGAGATCAGGGGACAATTTCCAGCTTTGCCACATGTGCCTTAGATGTAAGTACACCAGTGCCAGTTATAGGAGAAGCTGTAGTGTCTGCTCAAATAATACTGGACCAGCTGTGAAGATCATGAGACTCACCAGATCAGAAAGCTGACTATAATCTTGTTGGTAATTTATTTGAGAAAAGAAAGTCCTACATGTATTTTATATGAAGCACTTAATAAATAAAACATCCCTGAGAGACTAGAACCCAGCAGCAGGTAAGCTCTGTGTGTCAGAGGAAGCAAAGTAACTTTAAGCAGCAGTAGCTAACACCTCTTATAGAGATCATGTGTCTGTATCTTAACATAATACTAGCAAAATTTTACTTAAACTGTGTGACAGGTCTTATTTTGTCTTTTACTCTAGAGCCAGTGTACGTGGAACTATGAGGTAGCAGGTAGCAAAGCTATTCTATTTACAGCTATTCACTGGTTGCTATTGGTTTCCCTTAGCTGAATGACTAACAGCTGCATTAAGCCCATACTTAATATTCAGTTTGTGGTTCTAAGTAGAAGATAACTGTCAATTTGAAGAACGAAGATTGAATTTAAAAGACCTGTCACATGAAACCTTTCACCTGGCGTGACACTGATTTAATTTGCATAAAGACCAGAAAAATTTAGTTTTTCAAGGTGAAATGGAGCTGATGAAGAATGCACCAGCTAGAGTAAGGCTGAAGAATAGCTTTATTTATCTGTGGCAACTCAGCTCCAGCTCATAGGACACAACAGGGACTCCTGGCCCTTCACTGGGCTTTCATAGTGTGGAACTTATTTTTTCTGTACAAATACCATGACAGAGATGTCTCAAAGCCATCCCCAGGAATGCTGGTAATTATGGGGCATAGGATGGAGAGAGGTTGCAGAGAGTGTGCTAATGAAAAAATTCAGTGGGCTTGAGAGAGGGTTGAGTACTTGGGAATGGCTTACAGGTTCCTTAGACGGGGGTAAACACAGGCAGTAGATATTTTGGAGAGTGAAAATGCAGGAAAGGTATTTTGGTGTGTTAACCAATTGTTTCTGTTCTTCCCTACCTTCTGCTCTCACTCTGTCACTGTACCACTGAGATCCTGTGACACAGTATTCTTCATGCATAATATTTTTATGTTGTTGAAAAATATGAGGTTTTTTTTTTTATTATTAATATTAATTATTTTGCTGTAATTGGATCTTGGATAATGCTTCTCTTCTGAGAGAAGCAGTTTTGCACATCAGTCACTCCCTAAGAATGTCATTCTTTTATCTCTGGCCCCTGTTCATGTAACTTCATGTTCATTGAAACTGAGCTCAGTTCTGTATGTTCCTTGAGCTTTGAAATGACAGTTTCAACCCATATGTTCTAATACCTATGCGTTGGACCAGAGCAGGAAAAAGCAGAAGCACATTTTAGAGTCTGGCTATTACATGACACTGTAATCTATGCATTCTTATAAATTTTTATGGGTTGCTTAACATTCTTTTTTAAAAAAATTCCATTGCTTCAGAAGCTTCTCATACTGTTATGTTCTTTTTAAGTTTCAGACAGAGAAGCCCCAGAACCTCATATGGTGTTTTACAGCTGAAGCTATCTAAATAGCTCTGCTACAGATGTTGCCTCTAATCTTAAAGTTAGGTGCTTTGCATTTTTGCTTGGTTTAGTTCAGTACCATCCGTTGCTAATGAGAGAAGAGGTAGAGAAGAAAACTGCAGGCTTTCTGTATCTTGCCTGACATTCAGCCTCTACAATGGACATACACATGACTTTAGCTGCAGTAAATGTTATCTAATTAGCCTTTCATATAAATCTATCTTCCAAAAAGTTAGTGACCCCATGGCTGGAATATGAGATGCACACGTTGTGTGGTTTCTAAGAGTGCAACCAGCTAGCAAAATTGACAAGCTAATAAGAGTTGATTTACTTACATTTCTAGTCTGAGTTTACTGTAAATGAAACAGTCACAATTGAAGAACACCTCTATTAGTTAAGTCTCATATTAGTTAAGTCTCACATCTGGTGGTATGGGTGCTGGGGACTCCAACAGCAGGTGGTGAGGGAATCTTTGCTTTCCTCACAGAACATATGAGATCTGTCTGCACTGGCAAAAGGCATTTCTATATAGAAGTACTATTCATATAGAATGGGAAAAAACCAGTTCCACATATACATGGAATCCTTACCTAGGACCACTGGCAAAGATGTAGCAACAGTTTCTGTCCTCAAGGTAGGAATAACATACAGTGGTACTAGAGGTGGATGGGCTTCTATGAGATTTCAATAGGCCAAGGGGCTCAGTTCCTTTTTCCCATTCCCATTACTCCTCCTTGAACATAGCTGATGGAATTCAAGTATTGGTCATAGAGGAAAGACATTTTTCTTTTCATAATATCTATTAAAATAACAGAAGAGGAATAGTACTGTACGATCTCCTTTGCAGACGTTGACCTTTAAGGAACCAGATAAGTAAAGAGTGGTTTCAAAGCTTTTGGAAATCTCGATGTTGATCCTTCTTTATACCCATGATCCAGGCGTCTTTTTCCTTCTCTGACATTCTGCCTGAAGTTGTGGCAGCACAGGCAAAAGAGGCAACATGCTGCAGCTCCTGGGGTTGTGTTCTTCACTGTGACTGATGAGTTAACAGCCCATGGACACAAGACAACATGTGGAAGCCTTAGAGGTCTGGGGCTTTATAAATGCAGTTCCTAATCCTTTTGGCTGTGAGGCAGTTTTTCTGCATGTGTACATGGCTATGGGACAAGGCTATGGACCAAAAACAATGAAAAGAACCCAAACTAGATGACCTAGGAGAAAGAGTGAGCAGTATGTCTCTCCATGCACAGCCATAACTGTTGACGTGCCCGCCTGCCAAGGGACACGCACAAGCTTTGGTCAGTGCTGCGGTATGAAACCCAAAATAGAAAATTAGCACAGATAATCACTGGCACAGAGATCAAGGCGACTACAGGGCTCCTAACCTCTCAGGAGCTATTCTTTACCAATCCAACAACCTGTGTTACAGTGCTGCAGGAAATAACTCACGTGGTGTTGAATACCGAATACTCGGTGAGTTGGAAGCAGAGAAAGGTGGTTTATATGACTATGAGCTGGTGGAGTCAGTGATTTCCTAACGACACTGTAAACAGGCAGATTACTTACCCACAAAGATATGCCACCAAATCTTAGCAACAGAACTGTGTGTGATGCTGCTATTAAAACAGAAGACAGTAAAAAACACTGTATTGCTCACACTGAAGCAAAGAGAATGCATAAGTAAAGTGCGTTTCTGTTAAGCAGAAGTCATGGTTCCTTTTTCTGACCTAGTATCACCATGACAGTCTTGTACGAGCTGACTCTTTAAGCTACATTTCACTTAATACTGCACCCACTTCAAATTGTGTATGGCTGAAGAATAAAGGGTTCCCCAAAGACCATATTTTCAGAGTTATGATGCTGTA